TAAATTGTGCACATAATAAGAGTATGCATTATTTTCGAAGTTTTATTATTCTCTGTCAGTAACAGGAAAATGATAATATTTAATATTCATTGGGGAAAAAGCATTTGAGTCATTCATGTGAAAGCAAATATTTAGGCAGTAATGTTCAATGCTCCAAAAATACTTTTTAAAGGCAATAGAAAAAACATAATTTTAAAGTATGTTTTTTCTTAGTGGAGAAAAAAAGAATAAAATGCTTTTCCCAGAAGTAGAAAATGTAAAAATCTTTATTAAAGCAAACAGCTTTTGCAAGCGCTATTCGAGTTTGTTGTTTTAAATATTTTAACTTATACATTTTCTGCTTAAATGTTTTTTAAGCTAGCATCTCCCTTAAAAATTTACTAAATATTAATTATATCAGAACTTATTCTAACACACACTCTCATTAAATCTTTTCCAAAAGAAACCATTTGCCGGAAAACCTCCAAACATAAAATTTTAAATTGATTCGAAATGTTTGTGGTTAGAAACAAACAAACATCATGTTATTCATATTACACTCGAGAACCAGTTTTAAATATGAGATATTTATTTTCTTAACTTTACATTCACAAGAATTTTGTTCAAAAAATAAATAAAATGAAAACACTTGCACGAAACTGCTGTCTCAAGTGGGAAATATAAATATATATAAAAAAATAACCTCTTACGCAGATTGCATTTAACATTTTCCCTTCTGTTTTATATATGGATTATGTTAGAGCAAAAAGACCAAAAAAACATAAAGAAATTCATCGTTCGCGTGAAAACGGTATCTTCATTTGCATAGGAATATGCATTAGAGAAAACATGCAACACAAACCATAAAAACGAAAGAAAAACGAAACGCATTTTGGTCATATAATCCATTTGCTTTAGAGGCTTTGTATAAATATTAAATTTTATGCTGTTTTAGCTGTTTGTGAAACATATATATGCTTGTAAATTTGTGTTTCTAGTGGTTGCGTGTTGAGGATGAATATTTATCTTGACCTTAATGTTATGCAAATATTGCAATTGAAAAGAATTGTTGCTTGTAAGGTTGCGAGTTGGTTGAAGTTTAACTAGAGTTGAGGAGTTAAATATTAGTTTCGAAAACATTTACAAAATAAAATTTGCTAAACAACAAGACATGAATTTGTATGAAAAGTTTGAAATGGAAACTGTAGAAATATATTATAGCTGAAGTTTGTATAGAAAATATTTTTGCATATTTGAAAGATGCGAAATATTTGTGGTTGCAGTATTGGCCGTTCAATACATAAAACAGCGAGTTTTGTTTGTTTAGAATGCGTTTAAGGGAAAAAGCATATTTATTTCTTGCAATACGAAAGGCTATGTCGTTAAAATTGATACAAATTATTATGTTTATGTATTTTTTTTAAAAATCATTCAAGACAGACAGAAATTCTACATTAGAACAGCACTGTAAAAAATTCAGTATCAAATTACGGTATAAAGTACCGGCACTTCGAGTGCATTATTCATAAAATCCATTTTTACCGTAAAACACTATACCGTAATCTTTTAGTAATGTTTATTTAATTTGAATGATTCAATGATTTTTCAGTAATTATTACAATAAAAACTCAGGTATGTTAGACATTAGTTCTGTAACATGTTCCGGTTAAAATGGATTTTATGATAAAGAGTAGCTGTCGGTACTTTTGAATGTCGGTACTTTTTACCGTAATTGTGATCCGGAATTTCTTTACAGTAAATGCTATTCAAAAGAAAATAGTTATAACTTCATAGTTATGAAGTATAACTAACTATAAATACCTATAGCAATTCTAACTATTACTAATAAAAAAGTTAAGCAAAATATTTTCAAATATGTAATTTAAATACGACTTACTTGACGTTAAAATATAAATAAAATGTCAAAAAAATGTTTAAAATTCTTTAAATGCACATTTCAAGCATTAACAAGTATCTTTTGAATTTGAATATTTGTTGAGATAGATATATGTATGTTAAAATATTATGAGCCGATCAGAAAGTAAAAGTGGTTAGTTTACAGACATGGAAATTCTAAAAATATTCTTTGTTTAAAATGAAAGCTTTGACGTTTTGATATTCAACGTAGAAAGTTTAAACCTTAGGCTGTCTAAAGTTTAGCTACCGTTAATGAGAGGATTTGAGATATGGTGTAATGGAAACATATCAGTATTTTACTTTTTAAAATATAAATTTTAAAGTTTAAGAAATGATAGTGTGAGTTTAAAGTTAGTTTAAGAATTAAATATGTAAACCTATGAATATCCTGTGAGCTATTTTATATTGATGTAGAGTAAATGGCTTTGGAACCTAATCTTTAATAATGCACTACTCGCGGTTATTATCTAACAAATATAATTTGCAACAATTTTGTTTAATTAATTTATTTTAACTAAATTTCTTCACAGTTTAAACACCCTTAAAGTTCAATTGTTAAATCTCTATTTTATTATTTTATCTATACGGGTCAATATAATTGCACCATTTGTAATGTCTAAAAATTCTTAAAAAATCTTCTAAAACCAATAAACAAATACCAGTTGCCTATATAATGAACATTTGTAAATTTAAACTTGTTTCTTTACGTAATATTTCCGTATTGAAAGTCATTTTTCAAATACTTTTTTAAAACTATGTTGCCCACACTTTTAGTGTTTTTGATTTTTTTTCCTTTATTGGTTAGTATTTTTCTTTAGTATTTGCATATTATTATTGTTATAAATAATTATCTTGAGTTGGTGCTCTATTTCATTATTATTTTTCATATTATATTATTTATTTTATAGCATATAAATACATCTAAAAGCCATATTCGTTTAGTGCACGCTACTCAGTTTTTTATACTTCTTTGAACCTTCAGTGTTTTTAAATTTCAAAATTATCTAACTCACAACCTTGTCATCCACCTGACATTGGCATTACTAATGTGGTTTTTAGATGATAAAACCTTTAAGCCAAATATTAATAATTGAGTTATTACTAAACAATACTAAAAATAAGTTAAAAAAACTACAGAACTTAAAAAAAATGCATTGTAAGAAGGATGATGTAATGTAATATATAGCTTATAAAAAGTTTAGTTATTTATTTGCTAAGTCATTAATTAAAAAGATTAAATATCCAGAATTAAACATTGTTTGGTATACAAGGAGAGAAAGAGAGAGAGAGATGTGATTTAGTATTTTTATCATCATTATTACTAAAAGTAAATAGTAATTTTTACAAACAATATCCCAATAATGTAATATTTGTGTATACTGATGTCTGTTTTGAAGATACAATAGTATCTAAGAAATTAATATTTAAGAATACATTGTATAAAATTAAATTAATCAATAAATTTAAACTAACTTATTAATTGCTGAAAGATAGTAATATGATCTATCATAGGCAATATGAGGAATAATAACAATAAATTTATAACGATAAATAAAAAAGGGTCATTTTAAATTTTAATAAGGATAAATATATAATTGCTTGCAAAATATCATTACTACTCGCATAAAAGGACTACTATAATGCTACAATAAAAAATTGAAATAAAGCCATACATACATAAAATCAAAAACATTCTTATTAAAATTATATCGAAACTTATAGTATAGATTATAGAAATAATAACATGCATAATAAAAGAACATAATATAGAAAGAAAATCAAATAATATGCATTAAAATTATAAAAGTATAATATTCGTTATGATGCAATACAGTTTGAAAATAAAAGCATACATAGTACAATGTTACTAAAATAGCATGCATAACAATGATATAGGAAAATAATAACTATCATTAAGAAGCAATACCATATGAGAATGGTGACACATACATAATTTTCAATTTTATAACCAACCATACAGAACCGTGATGGATCAGAGGTGAGGCACTGAGATAATAATTGGTAGCTGGAAGACCACTCAGATGTCTAGGAAGTAAGCGCAGCTCTTGTACACTGCTGACCACATCACTACAATCGTACAGTTGGTCACGATATTATGGAGCCTTATCCTCCTTGACCCCCTGGCCTACAACTAACTTTTCTAGGAATGCTTTTATTAGCTTATTCAAAGAAAAACTTTTTCTAGTGATTTTAACTTAACTAAATTTTAAAAAAAATAAAAATATCAAAACGAATGAAATTAATTTATATCATTTATAATTTTTAAAAAAAATCAAAATCAAAAATAATATTTTTAAAAACTACGTTTTTGTAGTGGAGAATAATAATTAAAAAATAAAAATTTGAAAAATGAAAAATGTGGGAAGCATGAAACACATAACAGTAATGTTATATAAGTGTGTGTATGAGATTATGTGTGTATGAGAATCTGTATGCTCATGAGAATATGTGTGTGTATATCTGTAATTGTAATTGTATCTGAATGTGAATGTGTATTTGGAATATGCTTGTGTATATATGCATGTGTATATGCATCTGTATATGGATGTATATGTGTATGTGGCTGTGCATGTGTATGAGTAAGAAAATGTGTATATTTATGTGTATATGTACTGTTATGTATTTCATGAGCTCCACGTTTTTCGTTCTTCAAATTTTCATTTTTGAATTATTATTCTCCACTACAAAAACGTGATTTTTAAAAATATTATTTTTTATTTTGATTTTTTTTTGTACTCACTTCCAAAATCTCAAATTTTTCACTCATTGTACACAAAACATTTCAACTGACGTGTGACACTAATTTGAAATAATCGAATTGACAACAAAAGACAATAGCAAAAATACAAATTTTTCTTTAATTTTAATTTCATTTTTCTTTGTGTGTCTTCTTTCTCCTCATTTTCATGCATTGTCATCCAATTCTGAACTAATGTGCCAAATTTGAGGTCTGTAGCTAGTCGGGAAGTTTGCTTAAAATCGATTACAAAATTCCACCCGAACAGACATACACGAAGGCAAGTTAATATAAACGTGGTAATTACTTAGTTTTCGATAAGAAATATATTTCTTTCTTCTCACAGAGCACAGACCAGAGCAGAAAGGTGATAATATCTCAATGGCATCAGTGGGTAAAAAAGTCTATGAAACTCCAAGAGAAACACTGTATTATCCATCTCCATATGCCACAACAAGAATATCAATGTATTCCGCTGATAGTGAATCATCATCTGGACAAACGAATAGCTTACAAAGACCCAGTGGAACACACAGACCCGACCATACATATGATGTGCCTTTTCCTCATAAGGTAATTTTTTTTTTCATAAGAAAGCCAAAAAGCAAACAATACAAGCAAGAATAGCTTTCATAATCAGATTTTATGTGCAGTGAATAAAATGCAATGAATTTGAACTTAAAGAAAAATTAAGGTTTAGGTTTATAAAAAGAAATTTTAAACTTTCCTCTATACCTATTTAATTTTAGTATTTATTTCGGTAAAAAATGCTTTGAGTATGCACTATGACTGCCGGGTAATAATAATCAAAAAAATTGTTAACTTGATCGTTTTTCTAATTAAATTTTTTATTAATTGTATTTTTTTCTGATTAACAAATTTATCTTAAAAGCAGAATTATGAAGTATCATAGCCATCTCTACTCTGTTGAAATATAAGGAAGAATATTAACTCGAATTACTGTCTTAAATTCATTTGATCATTGTAATTGTCCAAACATTTAGTTAAAGTTTATGAAGTGTATTTTATATATAAATCTTAATTTAAAATGCAGAAAAATATAGCTGATGTGTAAATAGTTATCCAATATAATGGGAAAAGTACTGATATCCAGTATTTTGTCGCAATTTTTAATTTTTTTTAAAATCTAAATCTCCCTTAAAGAGAAAAGTCTTAGCATCAAATGTTCCTTAAAATATTTTCTTCAGAAATTAATCCGGATTCGGACCCCTGCAAGGACCTTAAAATGTCCCCAAATATGTAAAAAATTGACACTAAAATTTTTTTTTAACGTTTTTATAGATTTTTCTAATCATCTGCAAAATAATAATTGCATAGTTGAATTATTTATTCGTGAAAAAGATCTTACGATATTTTAACTCTTCGCTGGGGTGATAGATTTCGTATTATTTGCAGAATTTTGATGTTTTCACCCTAAGAAGCACGATTTTTATTAAAATTTTTTTTCTCAAAAATGTAAGTCTTTTTTGTAACTTTTTATTCTAAAATAAGACAACAGGATTGCTCTGGAATAAGACAAAAGTGTAAAAGAATGAAGCACATGAAGAGTGTCAACAAACCATTTGTGTTCAAAAGTTTTAGAAGCTTAATGTTTATTTTGTAAAAATTACCCAAATTCCTCCACCAGAATGTGACGGTATTCGAATTATACACTAGCATCCAACCAACATACTAATTTAAATACAAATTAAGTTTTTTTTGTAGCAATTTTTCAACATATACTTTGTCCTATTTTCGATATGCTTATTCATTTCCGGGACACTAATAACGCCATCCGTTTTAGTTATTTTCTTCAGTTCTACCTGGGATATGTTTAGTCAACTGGGATATGATTAGGCCATTGGTTACTCTTGAAAGTTCAGTTTCAGTGAGAAAATCTCTGTTATAATCTGTGAAACAATTTTATGCGCATTAAAACTTAATATGGTGGCGACCATTTTACAGCAAATTGATGTAGTGAAGCTCCACGCATAGCTTACGGATCTAGTTGCCTCACTACAGTACTTGGTATAAAGCAGCCGCCAATATTTTTATTATTCAGTAACACAAAAGTCTATAATTACAGTAAGAAATGATACTAATAAGAGTCAAACAAATTATTTTTACGACACAATAATCAATAATTTAGGATTTCATATTTCTGAAAATGAATTAGTTTGCTAATCAAACATACTAAACTAAAATAATATTTATACGAATTTGAACAAATTTTAGCAAAACCGAAGTGAATGGAAATTAAATATAAAAAATTTATCTAGTTCATTTGGCACATTTACGTGCATCTTCTGATAAAAACATAATTATCTTTATCCATTAGATAAAACCTTACATACATTAGTATGCCAATTTACTTCGTTGGGATTTTCAGAATTATAAGAAATTAAATTAAACTTTTACCTTCTCTACTGTAAAAAAATAGCGATTGTGTGACTTCTTAAAAAGTAAAGCTAAGACGGCTAAATTAGTTCATGAATGGGGTAAAAGCATTTGAATTTGGTGTAGGGTTTGTCATTTATTGGAGTTTAGATTTAACTACACCAATTAAAGTGCGTATGAAAGTTCGATTAGGCATTAACTTGAAAAAAAAATGCAAATTTTCAGCAGGGGGAATTATTTCAGTTCGAATAGGTCCACAGTTTTTACGAAATATTGCAAAATGCTATCCTCTAGACTTTTCTGAAACTATATGTAATAAACGCAATCAATGCTTATTACACGCAATCAATTCTTTTCCCTGTCAAAAGAAAATAAATTTGATCATTAGGTCACTTTGGGGAAAATGTAAAAAAAAAAATTATTTGTTAAGAACTTTTATTTCAAGGCATGTGCTGCATAACTTCTACAAATATATGTAACTTTTTTATGATGATACTATTCTTCCTGAAAATTAAGGTATTTTCTTTTAAATAACAGAAACTACAATTGAACCCATGCAGCATGAAAGGGCAAATAAACGTTAAAAATACGTTCGTTCGTTATAAGGTTTTGGAGTTACGTTAAAATTACGTCAATTTCACATGATGATTTTCACCATTTCTTCATTCGTTGAAACGTATACGCTAAAATGTCGTTATTTTAACGTTATCAATTTTCCCTTAAAATATTTCGTTAAAAATACGTACTAAAAATTCATTATTTTAACGTGCAGATTTTGCCCATTTTTCAACCGTTTTTTAAAAACGTTTTAATAAGCGGTAAAATACCGCAGAATGTTAAATTATAAAAATTAGATTTTTTTGCAAAATAAATTCTTAAAATTAGTTAAATTCAAAATAAAATGCTTTATAATGGTTATTATTTCTTTGCTGCAATTATACTAAATTCTTATTGTAATTATGCAATTAAATGTTTTTCTATCTATTGATCTCAAAATATTCCGGGTAGTTTAATTCTTCTTTAATATAATTACACTAGAAACTGTTAAAACTTTCTATTGTGACCAAACTCTGAAATTAAAAGCAGTGCATTTTATAAAACTTTTGAGATAAAATTTGCCTTTACTTTAGAAGATACAGCTTAGATTATATCTTTTTTTAGTAGATTACACGTTTTTATCTAATAAGTCGTTTTTGAAAGTAGTCGGGGAAAGTTGCAATATGTTTACTGTAAAAATGCTGTTCTCATTTTGTCTTTAGTATACTATGAAGCCTGCGGTAGTAAATGTATATAAAAATTATTCAATTCTTAATTATAAATTTTTTATTTTTATTTAACTACAGGATTCTTATTGAATTTTAATTCCTCATATAATTTAAGATGAAACGTTTCAGAGGAATTTTTATTTCTAAAATAAGTAGCTTCTATTATAAGAATATTTATTTTGAAGTCATAATTAGCAATGTATTACCTTTCGTTAATTTTTATATATTTTTAATAATAATTTTGAACATGAAGCTTTTAGCTCTATAAGTACGGAGCCTATTCTTTACCCTGTAATTAAATTTAAAGATAAATTTAAAATATGAATTTAAAAATTTGATTTCTAAAGTATTAAACAAAAAATATCATTTCTCATTTTAGTCTTCTAACTATGAAAAATAATGAAAATTATTTGTTGTTTATAGAAAAAGAGCAGCACAAAACTATATAAACGCTTCATTCAAAAGTTTAATCCTATTAAGGAAAATTATACACAATACTACCTAAAAATATCTAGTTGATATCCTCCGACTGCAATAGATTACATTCGGGTGTTTGTAAAATAAAATAATAAATTCAGCATGTATTGCAATACAATATTTTTAATTTATTATCAAAGGATTTGAATTTTTAGGGAAAAACAATTTAGACAAAAGGCAAAAAATAACGCAAAATTGTATGATTTAGTTATTTAATTAGTTTGCCTGTTTGGAACAACAAAATCCTAATTATACGTTATTGTTTTTTTAAACTTATTCTCCAAGTGCTTATTTACTAAACAAGAAGTATTTTTAAATTGCTTTCCAGATATTTTTATAAAACAATGGAAGTGAATGTTTGATGTGAAACTGTTGGTTGTTTGTTTTCTGAATATTTTTATGCATTCCTTCTTAGTAGTTTAAGAGGAAGAACTATTTGTTTGCATGCACTGCTTTATTTTTTTCCCCCACATACTTTCCTCTTCAGTTTCATTCGAGTTCATAAATGATAAACAAAATGGTGGATTTTACGTAAAAAATATTATCTTCTTCTTAATAAAACATTAATAAAACAACAGAAAAAAATACGTTTGCTCTCTAGTCAGTTTTAATAAATTTACGAATGTTTGCGAATTTTTAAAATAATGTCCCTTGTTTATTTCTCGTAAAAGAAAATTTCTTGCACTGCATGTCTTAGAAATGTTTAAATTTTTGAATATTTTTGAAATATATGGAGAATTTTCAGTGGCATATTATTGTTCCAAAATGCAGTAAATCGAAATGTAGATTTGTAGTCGTTTCTTTGAACAATGTAGATTACTGGTAATACGGTAAATCTCTACTAAGATTTATTTCCCTTTTAATTCTAAAATTCTATGTAAACTACAATACTTAAAACATTAAAATGTAATAGTATGTTTTCTTCTAAACTGTGTTTTAAAATAACTTATACTAAAAAAAATATATTATTTTTCCTTAATTTTCAAATGCATATCCTTAATTTAAATACAGTTAAACATAAACACAGCCTTAAAACTTTTATATTCTTTAATGTCGTAATTTTTATTTAAATGCAAATATTAAAAAAAAGTATGTTATTAAAACTTAGGCTTGAATTAATTAGTAGTGAGGTTCAAATTTCCTTAATTCTTCTTGAAAAAGGGTTAATTTAAAAATAAGTTCACTGAGACGATTTAAATAATTTATACACAACATGTTTCACTGAAGAAAGATTTAATGTATAAAAAATCCAATAACAAATTTTGAAAAACTCATTTTATAACAATAAACTTATCTATTAATTACGTCTGAGTGTATCAGATAAAAATATTTACTGATAAAAAAATATATTTCTGATACATTTTAATATGGATGTGTAATGTTTTTCTCCCAACACAGCAAAAAGCTTTAGTGTATATTATTTCCAAAAGTGGTGGCAACTATTTTACACTCTAGTAGTGTAGCGTAGCTCCATGCATAACATTAATATCTACACCAAGAATGTTCTTTTACACTTCACTATAAAGAAAATGTTCGTGTATTTGAACAAAAAAATTAAAAAAAAGTTACATTACATTTTAGTGGTGTTTCATTAAGTGTTCCACTACATCAAAGCCAAGGATAATTCCTGATATGGTTAAACACTAAGAAAGTTATTTTACCTTATTTGGCCCAAAGGAGCCACCACCATGCTTGTTATTCAGTAACGCTAAAATTTATAATTACAGTAAGACATTATACACGTACAGAAAAATCAGTAAAATTACTTTTGTGATGCATTAACAATAAAGCAAAAATCATAATTTAAGGGTGTATATATACAATCTTTCTTAAAATGAAATTAGTTTGTTAATCAAACATACACACAGAGAAGACAGAATATTAATATGAATTATATACAATTATAATAGTTAAATTATATAAAATTATTTTAACACAGTTGACATATTTATTGAGAACATAAAAACTTTTGTTATACAACTAAAACATGTATTTTATAACACTTTTTATGAGTAGTTTGTCAAACCCGACAAGAAGATAAAAATCACTTGGAAAATAAGGGACCACAATCAATATCAATTCTCAATCAATAAAGAGAGTTGAAACTTATTTGGTATTGACTATTAAATCAGATAGAAGACACCAGCACACTTCATGTAAATTAACCTCCCTCTTGTTTGCCGTACTGTTAATATCTTAAAGATGCCTTTATATCTATAATAATGGTCCAAAATGGTTGTTTTGCTTTTAAGATAATCCCTATCATCATCTAACGCTAGGTCTTAGTTAATTATTTTGGATATACAATAATTATTCTACAAATGTTTAGAGCGGTGAAAAATACAACATTTTCCCAAACGGAGCGAAATCTTTATCAATTATTGTTGATAAGATTTAACTAAACAATTTGAAGTGCGTAAAAACGCTTGATTCAGTAGTATTAACTAGAAATAAAGGAATTATTCAAATAACTTAAAGAGTTTTTCAGCACTGTATTCGGATAGGCATTATAACGGTTTTTACAACTTAAAAACTATATGCACATTTTAACGATGAGCTGTTGTATCTGTAGACATTGAATAGTTGCGTAAAAGACAATAATAAACTTATGCCAACTCATCTGGATTATAAGCAATTTTCTGTCGATATCCAAGGCTTGACAGCATTGGTGTCGTTAGAAGCGATAACAATTCAAGTATGTTGTTATTGCGCGTGAAATTGTTGTAAGAATTTTTGACTTTAGGTGTTTAACACTTTAAATTAGAGATAGAAACTCGACTCTGTTGTTAATTTCTTTCCACAATTTTTTGGGGTTGTTCAACTTCATATTCGGAGACATATTTCAGCAGTTTTTTTACAGCCTAGTTACATTGGACTGTTATCAAGCAATTTTAATGATTACAGCACGTATGAAGCTCATTTTGAATTTACGAAGTATTCAGTTTCATTAGACCTTACACACTGTTAAAAATAGTGACAATACTCCGAAACAAATAATAATCGAATTACGAAAACCTGAAACAGAATGTACTCGTTTACGAGCAAAAATTCATAATCTCAAAAATGATGTGGAGGGAAAAATGTGTGGAAAAGATGTCCGTTGGCCAAGATCCGGGTTCTTAGTAGGATTCTACAACCCCGTACACTCAAGTTCGGGGTGAGTTTGGGACCTTTGCACAATGGCCATCGCAATGAAGCATCATGACTTACATACATTCAATTCGTTTGATCGTTCATTTTTAGCTAACTAGGAAAATAGAGAAATCTAAATTCTCAGGATTATTTTAATAAACTTTAGATCAGTTTTTTTACAGTGNTTTTGACTTTAGGTGTTTAACACTTTAAATTAGAGATAGAAACTCGACTCTGTTGGTAATTTCTTTCCACAATTTTTTGGGGTTGTTCAACTTCATATTCGGAGACATATTTCAGCAGTTTTTCTTTACAGCCTAGTTGCATTGGACCTGTTATCAAGCATTTTTAATGATTACAGCACGTATGAAGCTCGTCTTGAATTTACGAAGTATTCAGTTTCATTAGACCTTAGACACTGTTAAAAATAGTGCCAATACTTCGAAATAAATAATAATCGAATTATGAAAACCTGAAACAGAATGTACTCGTTTACGAGCAAAAATGCATAATCTCAAAGATGATGTGGCCAAGATCCGGGTTCTTAGTAGGATTCTACAACCCCCATACTTGCACACTCAAGTTCGGGGTGAGTTTGGGACCTTTTGCACAATGGCCATCGCAATGAAACATCATGACATACATACGTTCAATTCGTTTGATCGTTCATTTTTAGCTAACTAGGCAAATAGAGAAATCGAAATTCTCAGGATTATTTTAATAAACTTTAGATCAGTTTTTCTTACAGTGCAGGCTTTCTACATGCTAACCTTTGACCCAAAGAAAATATATATATATATATATTGACGTGATTGCTTTCTGTTTTATTCGTTTATGACCCGCTTTTACTTTAATGTAACGGAACTAAATAGATATTGTTTATTCTTATCTCAACCCGCCCTATTCAAGGGTACACGAGAGAGAGAACATGCATTCTACAGACAAAACATACAAACTAAATAGATATAATACAATTGAAATTTTGTTCAATAAGATTAATTCACCGATGAGGTATAAGCACTGAAAAAAAGACCGTACAGTTATTGTATTTAGTACTAGGTTTATTTCTGTAGTATTTGTCATATATTTTTTAGCATACCTTTCTGAAATCATTAAGAGAGTTATGAATCATTCCGTTTAAGTAAATTCCAAACAAGGCTAAATAAAAAGCGTGACCAATCACCAAGGTTGAGTGTTTTAAAGTTAAATAATTTGCTTAAAATATATCATTACTTAATAACTTATATACACAAATTATTAAAACTTTAGCTGATGATTAAGCGAAAAAAAAGAATATAAATTTCTTTTTTTAGAGTTGTAGGTAAATATTAATTTTTAAATATTTAAGATGCCACTGTTTAAGTTAGAGAAGGGGGAAAACAATTCTCAAGAAATTTTAAAAGCAATAAATCGATTAAAAAGTTTAACTTATTTGTTACTCAAAGCGGCAATGAATTTTACATATTTACATATTCTGAAATTTCATTTAATACTCATACTCTACTGCTTGATTTCGCTCTTGAGGAAAATGTTAATTGCTTTCCAATTTTATAGTAAACTAGAATAACGCTTTTTTTATTTTATTAAATAGCTTGATTGTAGTAGTGTAAAGTGTCTATCTCAGCTGATAGTAAAAAGCACTAGATAGTAAAAACAGTAAAGTAATAATGTAAAAAAAGAATAAACATATTAAATTTTTTTAAGATTCAGTTTCTTTCTCAAACAAATATAAAAAATATGTTTGAATAATTAAAATATGCTACCTTGATGTTTCATGAAAATGCATAGAAAATTTTCATTTGATTGACAAAAGTAAACACAATCTGATTTGTTAATTAGAGTGGCAAGAAGTTATACTGAAACGAAATTGAAGCTCTCAGCTTAAAATCACATCTTAATCAAAAATTAATCAAATTACGCATTAATATACTTTCTGACATACATATTCAAAAATTTCGACATATCCATGCATTACTGATAATTATATCTAATTAAAAGTAAAGAACTTCAGTATTTTCTTTTTATAAAAAAATTCTCAATGGGATAAGAAACCAGGTTAGATTTATTTTAATTTATTTTTTAGATAATGTCTCTTTATTGAATTAACAACTAATTAAATTGATCAGAAAAAAAAGATTAAATTTTTTGTCATTTATGAATTAAAAAAGTTTATTAAATGTAAGGTTTGCTTTTTGGCTAATCTTAATTGAGATAAAACGAACGAAGTATGAAGATATCGCATTTCTTAACTCCTATTTTCTTTTAGTTTCGAGGTCCAGTCACATACTGTGCAGTGACGCATGATTACCAACAGTTATTTACAGAGTCTGGATTACACCATTTTGTTGGTAAGCATGTGTTTATCAGGCTGCATTCGTTAGTTAGAATCGTTTTAAATGTGGTTTTTGAAAAAAGCGCTTTAAATTATTGATGCTATTCTTGCTTAAATTTTGCATGGAAATTTTTATGTGTTTATGTGAGATAATAAGGCTGTATCTGTGTATTAATACAAGAGCAGTCATCATTTTACAAAATGCAACTGACAATTTTATAAATTTTACTAAATAATTGGAATGCTAATTTTGTAATTTGTATAACAAGATATTTTTCCCTAAGAAGGAATTCCAAGGAATTTTCCAATTTTAAGGGTAAAAAGTCCTTATTAATTTTTTTGTTAACATTTTAAGAATTCATTTGCAGACAAAATTTAACATCTTCACCCATTTCATACGAAAAATCCTTTCTAATAGTTTAAGTGCTTTCCATTAAAAAGGAAGTTCTTGATTACGTTACTGAAAATCTATTGCTTAAAACAAAAGAAATCAAGATTAATAAAACACAAAGGAAAGAACTGAAGTGGACAGATTAAAGTTACCGTTTTATAAACGAGAACCTTCACCAGATTCTAAGCACCAAATGATAGAAGAAGAGTAAAATAGACAAATACGTACAAAGTGGTTTAACGAACTAACAGCTCTAAACATAAAAAGTCGGTTTTTTAACCTGTTGTCTTCTCCTCATAGCAAAACCTGTTTTTTCCATGTTATTCGATGGTGAAATAGCGTATGGGGAGAAATATTCTCCCAATTTTGCTCATTTTCCAAATTACCAGTGGATTAACCAATAGCGACAGAGAAACAACTTTGAGAAAGGAAATAAAAAAAAGGAAGTATTAAAAGACTAGTGGGTACCCCAGAGTGCAAGAGATTCAATTATAATAGATATCCAAATATTGAAAAATGGTGGGATTTTAGAAAGATTATTAGCTAAATTGTTAGAATTCTTCAAAATAGTGAATTGTTTCAGGAAGCAAGTTTAGAAGCTAAAGATCAGTGCTGCCTGTGATTAGAATTCCACCTATGTAAAGGCAATGAAAGATTGCTTAATGTTCTGATGTTGGGCATATCTTTCATGGTTTTGATTAGAGGTTTAAGATGAAGATTGTTTTGTCAAATATGCGCAAGATCTCATTGACAAGAAATATGATAAATACCCCAGCAATCATTAACAGCAATAGGGTCTTTAATGATGATGAAATTCAGTTTATCTTCATTGGAGAACACAACTTTATACTCAAATTTACTCAAAATAACAGCAACATGGGGAATGATTTTCAGATAAGATAACACAACCAAATTAAACGAACCAATTGAAGTTCAAATTAGAGAGCTTAGTAGATTACGAGATGATTTTTTTTATATGAAATTAATGATATTGGAGGTAAAGCTGCTGTAAGATAACTATTTAAATTACTACTAAAAAGTGGAAGAAATTTAAAGAGCATGGTTCCCAAGTACGCGTAAGACAGCTATCATTTGGTTAGGGGGTCGGGATAAAAGGTTACGAGGGAGGAGTGAATCTGAAAATGGTTTCCGGTAAACAGTAGTGAGAAATTCATAGCAATTACGAGTAATAAGATCATCGTAGTAAGGGAAAAAAACCGAAACTTATTATTTTCCTGTTAACTTAAATTGAATGTAAGTACCTATAAAATTCAATTCGTAATATTAGGACAAGCACATAGCATACCTTAGCACAAATTATACCCTATCCTTTTTTGGATGTATTGGTTTCTTGATTTTGTAACTTAACAGTTATATATAACATGTATTTATTGATACATTTAAGTGAGACTCTTTATTATAAAAATCATTTTAGCACTTAAATTCTGTTATAAAGTCAATGATTATTCAATGTACCCTTTCTTTTTATGGCGCATTTTACAGTAAAATCGATTCTCAATGAAATCAATTAATTTATTGCTAAGCAAATTTATTTATTACCTTTCATTTGTTACTGATTAATTTAGACTGCTGATTTATTACTAAAATAATGATATTATTATTATCATTCAGTTTTGTTTTGTATTTTTAAGACATTTATGCAATACATTTTTATATTAAACTTCTGTAAGCAAGTAAGAGTCAGAATAAATTTTACAACACTTATAATTGAAGTCTCCTGAAAAGATCATTGCGCTCAATTTATAAGCTAACTTATAAAGAAACTTACTTCTAGAATATTAAACAAGTGCAAGTTCTAACAAATTGAGGGCCGTAAATATTTTCTATAAATCATAAACCATTACAAGAATTTATGTGATAGAAAGATTTTTACGACCAAAATATGCCTTATTTTGTTTTGTTTTTTGATCGAAGCTTGAAATCTACTTAACTCCATACCTCTATTCTCATTTTATCTCCAATATAAAGCTGAGCCTTGAACTGTAGGAAACTCTGCTTAGGTATAAGAGTCCTTGTGAGAGCAGATTTTATTTTCCTTCAAATGCTATCACATAAACTTTTTTGCTGATCTAATAGTTCTTATTTCACGTAAAACAAAAGATCAATCAATAGTGAAGCTTGGAAAGTCCAAATACACAATGCTTGGAAATCCAAGCACATATTTTAACTGTTATTCGGGATTCAAAAGTCAGGGATATCTAAGTTAGAAATGTTTCCAAATGTATGATATATATATATATATTCTCAAGAA